GCCAATAGTGGATTTTACTTTAGGCAGATGAATTTCTCGTTTATCTCTTACCTCTGTTATTATTCGTTCAGCCCCTGGACGTAAGCAGTCGCTTGCTAGTCATTTCGTGATCAGGCCTTACTAGTGTTAGTTTGTTCTGCCCAAGAGATCTAGAGATCTAGCTAGAGGATCCATCTCAGATAGCCATCTTCCCGACATAAGGCTAATACAACTTGATGATGTACAATTTCATGCGTCAACTGTAGGTTTTTATACGCAAAATGTTACTGTATACCTTCCCGCATTCCACAAACATCCCTGATAGTACGCAAGGAAGTTTGGTAGTGATGGGGTGAGGGGAGGGGGGAGGGACACTTAGGGAAGTTTGGGCAGGGATGTACCACTGCGGCCTTTAAACAATGGCCCTCTTTAAGACAAATCACTTAGGTTACAAACGGAAAATTAGTATCAGGTAAGTCTTTTGGAAACTGAAAGGAGGGGATTACGTATAGCCTGTATACTAAATGAGGGTTAAGAGCCTCTCAATTTACTTGAGGTTTTGCGTTAACTACAAAAATCATAGCAATGGTAAAAGGTTGATAATCTTCCATTTAATAGCACTCAGAATTTGCATTAAATAAAATACGATGTTTAACAGTATTAGTATCAACGCAAAGAGATAATCAAAACGTTTATACCATAGGAACAAAAATTGCATGCGGAAAGAAGCACACATTAAAAAGAATAAAATAAGAGTTAATAAAATTATGAAATATTTGTCATCTCGCTGTGCTTGACAAAGATTCTTCTGTGATGGGGGAAAGACCATTGTCCGGCTCGGGTAAGCGGCTGTTTTCACCAAGAATATGCGCCAGATCACTGAACCTAAAGGACATAAAAATAAAAAAGGCTCACAAACCGGACTTTCTATTTGTTGTTTGTTTTGTGATTAATTGCCAATTCCTTCTCCAAGGCTCAAGCAGAGGGCTTTTCGCGGCCAATGCTTAATGATGTAAAGGTCTTTTGCTGTTTTTGGATGTTGTGTTCTGACAACGTAAACAGCGTCGGACATTACAGGAAATTGGTCAAACACTCTTCCCTTGATGGAATGAAAGACTAAAAATGGTCATTAACGCTCTAGAAAGTAAATTGTACTAACTTGGAGCCTTTCAGGAGATCCAGGAAACTATGAAATTGCCTGAATGACGCTTCTATGCTCTCTAGCACTCGGTCGTCTTCAAGAATAGTTTTGGCTCCTAGAACGAAATAATTTAAATTATCCGATGAATCCTTTCCCAGGGTGGATTGGTCGGTTCCTATGACGTGCGATGATCCGAGTGATTGGTAACTAATCCTGATCCGGATCATCACAATGAACTCACCCTATTTATAATAAACATTCCTAAGGCTTTTGGGAGCGAGAAGCTATTCAATAAACAAAAGCAATGATAGAACCCAGGGAAAAACTTCTTTGTAGGTTACACCTAATGATTACGTAGATACATATCCAAGAAATTAGAGATAGGTGAATTACTTAAAGTGCAAGATCATAGAATTTGTAGGAAGGTTTCTAGTATCCCGAACGTAGAACCACCCTCTTAGAGCTAACTTCCCTGAGACTAAGATTACAAGATACAACTTAAGGAATAAATCTCCCGCAACGCCCGCCGTTCACACGGATCGCTTTAAGAATACATTCTTTAATAGAATTGTCTTCAAGTATAATGTAGCTTTGTAAATAGTGTACTTTCTGTATTCGATTTTTATATTTCTTTTTATGTATATACCAATCTTATTTAGAGACATACTTTAGCCCATTAACATTGTTATATTTAAATGTAACATAAGATATGTAATTTTATCTTTTGAACAATAAAGACACTTTATTTACACAGAGAGTAAACCTCGCAACCTACCTGACAGCGTACTAGCCCTCTTTGGGACAGAAAATTCATCACAGTATGTTTTCAAGACAGGTGATAGTGCACAAAGTAGGATCATGATGTGCTCCAGATAGCATTCATCTGAAAGAAAACAAAGCAACTTAATCTGAGTGATACTAGCGTTAAGATACACAAAGTGCAAGCGTCTTTAAGTTGCCTACCTTTACGGAACCACTAATGCAAAATAAAATGAATAATGTAAAGAGGCAGTACAGAGATTCCAAATTTACATATTACTTTCCAGATATATCCTGTATCCTTGTAGGTTCATTTCAAGAAATAAATACTTAATTTACACTGCAAAAAAAAAAAAGAATAGATCAGCTGAGTATGAAAAAACAGCTGGTCTAAACCTATGTGCAGTAATAAAATATTAAAAAAAAAAATAGTACACAGTAAAAAAGCGGAAAGATTAATATTTACAATAAAAAAGGTGTTAAAAAATTAAAATCAATTAATCTACAACCTACATTTATGCTGTGTTTTGTCTTGTTCTTGCAAATACTTAAATGTCTTTCTTTAAAAAGATCCTAATGTTAGGCCATCAACCCGTAATTCATTAGGTAACTCGTTCCAATCCTTTGCTCCAGTGAATTTAAAGGTAGACTAGCCAATAGTGGATTTTACTTTAGGCAGATGAATTTCTCGTTTATCTCTTACCTCTGTTATTATTCGTTCAGCCCCTGGACGTAAGCAGTCGCTTGCTAGTCATTTCGTGATCAGGCCTTACTAGTGTTAGTNGCAGTCGCTTGCTAGTCATTTCGTGATCAGGCCTTACTAGTGTTAGTTTGTTCTGCCCAAGAGATCTAGAGATCTAGCTAGAGGATCCATCTCAGATAGCCACCTTCCCGACATAAGGCTAATACAACTTGATGATGTATAATCTCATGCGTCAACTGTAGGTTTTTATACGCAAAATGTTACTGTATACCTTCCCACATTCCACAAACATCCCTGATAGTACGCAAGGAAATTTGGTGGTGATGGGGTGAGGGGAGGTGGGGGGGACACTTAGGGAAGTTTGGGCAGGGGTGTACCACTGCGGCCTTTAAACAATGGCCCTCTTTAAGACAAATCACTTAGGTTACAAACGGAAAATTAGTATCAGGTAAGTCTTTTGGAAACTTAAAGGAGGGGATTACGTATAGCTTGTATACTAAATGAGGGTTAAGGGCCTCTCAATTTACTTGAGGTTTTGCGTTAACTACAAAAATCATAGCAATGGTAAAAGGTTGATAATCTTCCATTTAATAGCACTCAGAATTTGCATTAAATAAAGTACGATGTTTAACAGTATTAGTATCAACGCAAAGAGATAATCAAAACGTTTATACCATAGGAACAAAAATTGCATGCGGAAAGAAGCACACATTAAAAAGAATAAAATAAGAGTTAATAAAATTATGAAATATTTGTCATCTCGCTGTGCTTGACAAAGATTCTTCTGTGATGGGGGAAAGACCATTGTCCGGCTCGGGTAAGCGGCTGTTTTCACCAAGAATATGCGCCAGATCACTGAACCTAAAGGACATAAAAATAAAAAAGGCTCACAAACCGGACTTTCTATTTGTTGTTTGTTTTGTGATTAATTGCCAATTCCTTCTCCAAGGCTCAAGCAGAGGGCTTTTCGCGGCCAATGCTTAATGATGTAAAGGTCTTTTGCTGTTTTTGGATGTTGTGTTCTGACAACGTAAACAGCGTCGGACATTACAGGAAATTGGTCAAACACTCTTCCCTTGATGGAATGAAAGACTAAAAATGGTCATTAACGCTCTAGAAAGTAAATTGTACTAACTTGGAGCCTTTCAGGAGATCCAGGAAACTATGAAATTGCCTGAATGACGCTTCTATGCTCTCTAGCACTCGGTCGTCTTCAAGAATAGTTTTGGCTCCTAGAACGAAATAAGTGTGAGATAGTTAGAAAATAAACCCCATAAGGCGGTCAGTAAGCCGGATGAGAAGTTTTCACTTATATTCAAGTCGTGCAGGTTATAACCATAACGACAACGGCAACAAGAACGTGAAAAAGAAAAAAGGATGGTTGTGTGAGCAAAACAACAGCTCTGCATGTGCATGTTCTAGCCAATCAGAGGGCTTAGATAATCAAAAACGAAACAACTACTAGATTCATTTCGACAAGCGCTGTCAATGATACTCTGCAGTACTTTTCTTAGTTGCCGTTTATGCAGTAAAAGGTTACATATGTATTTGTAACTATGCTGTTTAATCGGTAGTTGAAATCCTGTGACCATTTGCTTTGTCAAAGGTCGAAGTAGTCACCGCCATTAAAACATCTGAAAATTTTTAAATTCAAAAGTTTCGTGTTCGCCTTAGACCTTATAATAGCCAGGGAAAATTTAAGTTGCACTTACCTGGAGTTTTAGGTTGGTCAAAAGTTGTGTTCAGTAACGGACCAGAAAACGAAATTGGTCGACTGGGCGGTAACTACAGGAAGGAGGAAAAAAATTACGATTATTCTGCCTTCTTTTCATTGCAAAGTCATTGCACGATCAGATTTTCCTAATAATATCCTAATAATTTCCTAATAATATCCTAATAATATCCTACAACGATATTTACGGTTTGTTGTCCTGCATAAGGCCGAAGTGTTGTTTAAGTCTGTCAATGAAATCGGAAATCCTTTTGTGCGACCATTCAAATGAAAGCTTCTGAGCATTACATGTGTACTTTGCATTGGTATTGTTTATCATGATGTACATAGTGGTCCTAAATTTTCAGTCTATGAATAACTTCCTGAACTGTGTGACAGTTAAATGAAAAGCATAATTATACTTTTGATGAGAGCCAGTGAGGAGTAATAGTATAGTAATAAGTACAGTAATAGTAGAGCTGTAACTTGCAGTTTGTTTGGTCTTAAGCAACCTTATCTCCTGTTGCAATCTTCTGTTTTCCACTTGCAGCTACACAGGCGCGATAGGAATAGAAACAAACAACAAGATGAGAAAGAGCTTTACATCTCATATAAAACGATTTTGTAGAGAAACAATCTTCATTATTTTTCAGAGTAATAAATTCAAATTGAATTTTTGCGCAACGAAAAGGAGACAAATACAGTTGCCTCTATAACTTAATGACGTCCACCTACTTCAAGTATTCTTGAATCAGCTGTGGCACGGGCTCGACTTTCATCTTCAAGGCGATGTTTGAGCATCTCCATTTCGAACTATGCATGAAAAAAAGAAAACTAGTCTGGGTTAAAGATGACCAGTTAAGGGTGAGCGGAGTGATCAATGCTAAGGTAGGTAGGCAGGGGGGAGCTTGTCCCACAGGTTAACTTCTGTTGTATCAATAATCTAGGGGTAACTAATATTCTAAACCCGGGCGAAATTCATAGGGTAGAAATTAAAAAAATAATAATTAATAAAGTTTACCTGCATCTCCTTCAACCTTTCATGATTGTCAACTGAACTTTCTGAAATAAGATAATAAAAAAATAAGAATTTCTGGAGGTCATTTCTATAAGCATTCACCAATCCCGCCACTGGACGATGTTCCTTGCAGATTTTGGTTTGGTATTTTCGCAGGGGCTCTTTCTTTTCTTCCGTTCGTGCTCTAAACTTTGCCTGCAGCGATTTCACCCATGACAATTCCTATTGGCCGCCCCCCTCCACCCCCACCTCAAGGATGATGCTAGTGTAAACCTCATTCCCAGGGCATATCTCTTTTAAAGCCATGAGAGCAAGGGAACAAGGTTTTGTTGGCGTAGTTTTCTGATTTACGAACTTGAGAGGGGTGTAGCAGGGCACTATTTTTGCTGATTTGACTAAGGGGGTAGGTGATGCAGGAAAGGCACTTATTTAAGGAAATATAATAACTGTTTTTTATCGTTGGTTTAAGTTTTATATTCTTTTGTTTCAAACTCTTTATCATTCATTACTATACCCAAAAACAGAAGAAAAGAAAATTTAAACCAAGGAGAAAATTGAACCACAACAGTTACATCACCTGTGCCACTGGTGCGGTTGGCTGGTTCATCTTCCTCACTTGCTAATGGTGAGCTTGTAGCTTGTGGTCTACTTGCAGCAGTCTTGAGCTGTAATAAACAGGAAACATAACTCAGCTTGCGAATACAGACGAGGTAGAACAAAGTGGAATTTTATCATTCTATTTTGGCCAAAGTAATCCAAACTGACCTGAGATCAGAGCTTCAAAAAACAGATTTACAATAATATTATTGTATAGAGTTGTTTACTTTGTGCTATATTCAGGTAAAGAAATACCTTCTTTTTGGTAGGAACACCTCTCTGTGCAACCTCTTTTCCGAGTTTGTGTCTGAAAATGAGAAAGAAAGAAAATTGTTCAGCTTAATTAAATAACCCTAACCTTCCATTCACTTGCCTGAAAAATGCAAAAAAAGCGCTTGAGTTGTTCACGGGATACAATCAGATGGACTGTGTGCATTGAAAATGGTAAGCGTCCCTGTGGTACATGAAGGAAAAATAGCTAAATACTTCTCCATGTAAAATACCTGTTTTTCCCTACTCTAGCAGCTGTTCTCCATGGAATGAAACCAGCAGAAGACTTTTTTGATACTACAGTTGCATTTTTGGACAAGCCAACTCTTTGAGGAGAGAAATGGATGATCATTTTAATAGCATCTAAATGTACAAAACTTATTCGACTAAAACATTCAACCTAAGCAAATCAACCTAGCTGCAAGAAAAACATTAGCCTGCATAGCTGGCGTTTTTTTGGTGTGTTTTTTCTTTAGTTGTTCACACACAGTAAGAGTTACAGCTGCGTGAAAGCTGAACTGAGGTGGAAACAGAAAGGGGAAGGTATGAGGGGCAAGGCTCACTGCCTTCTCCCCTCCCCCCCCCTCCCCCCTCTCCCCCCTCCCCCATCGTTTTCTTTCCTTGGTTCAGCTTTCACGTAGCTGAAACCCTTACTTTACCAACCACAAAAGAAAAAAACACACCAAAAAACCACCAGCTACGCAGGCTAGAAAAACATTTTTCAGGTTGTCAACTACATGCTCTAAATACATTATCTTATTAATGATCCACAAGAAAATGGCAGGCCTTATCATCTGCAAAATCAATATCTGCCATTACTCCATAACTGGACTGTTTGTTAAAGGAAAAACTCACCTTCCTGGTCGGTGTCCATGTTGTGAAGTCGCAGTTTTACCTTTAAACGGTCCCCCTCGCTTACGTGGTCTGATTCTTCCAGGTTTTGGTTCTCGAATTACTAGCCAGGGATACTGAAGAAAGAAAACAGAAAAATAACTAAGACATTTTTTTTCTTTAGCACTCTTTGCCATAACTTTGCTTAGATTTATAAGAATGAGATTCAGAACCAAGTTCACAGCAAACGCCTTAACCCTTTAAACCCTAAGATCAAAATTTGAATTCTCATTTGTTGCCCCTACTCATTTCCCACAGAAGTTGTGCAGAGAAGCTGATAAAATATCAAGCATATTCATCTTGTGTGATCAGGTCTGTAATGCTCATGACCACTCCATTTTACAAAGCATTGATGTTACAAGGAGAAATTTGATGCTGATCACTCTCAGGGCTTAAAGGGTTAAAACAGTCATTCACATACTTCTAATTCAGTGTCTCCTGTGTTTATCATCAGCTGCTCCATCAGTGATCCAAAAACCTCTCGTTCTGTGCAAAAACAAGAAAATTTAGGAGGGCATTGTTGAAAACTTTAAGATGAAGACCTTTTAAAATGATAACATTGCAAATGCGTTGATTCTTGTTTGCATATGGGTTGAGTTTGTTGTTGGCTCTCTCCTTTGTTCCAAAAAGTTTTTCTCCAGGTAGTCCAGTTTTACCCACTTGTCAAAAACAAACATTTCCAAATTTGCATTTGATCAAGAACACAGGGACGCATTTAAATATTAATTTGTTCACCCGGACGATCAAACTCAATCTACTTTTGAAATGACTCCTGGGCCCAGTCGTTCGAAGGCCGATTAGCGCTTAACCTGGGGTTAAATTTAACCCTAGTTTCTTTTTCTTGTGCTCAAAAGCACTTTCTTGGATAATTTTCTCTGATATTTTTAGAGCTTCCAATCATCAACCTGTAGACAAAAAGAATTAAAACTGAAATGCTTTTTAAGCTTTCAAATCTGAATTCCAATCTCACACTAACCCTGGGTTATCTTAACCCAGCTTTGAACAACTCGGCCCAGGGTTTAAACCTTTCACAGCATATAAATGAGTTCTTAAGAACTCCTACTAAGTGCTTTGTGGGTAAACAAAATTACGATATAAAATAAAATACAAAAGACAACAGGCTGCACAGCACTAACCAATTAGAGGATTAAGTCTGAGGTCCAATACAGTGATTGTGGAGTTGAATTTTAGCACTGGTTGAAAGGCCATCGCTCCCTCACTTGAGATACCACATTGCTGCATATCTAAAGCTATACAGGTAGAGAAGGTAAGACAGGGTAACAAAATTAATAGAATTTACATCAAAGGGACCATAACTGGTGCACTTTTTTTAGTTATAAGTGTAGCATGATAGCCCAGGGCAGTAACTTTGCTGGTTAAGTTGCCTCGAAAGCTATTTTCCCCCCAGTTTATGTCTCCCAAATCCCATAGTTAATTCTGTAATCATAACTATAACAAAATTCTCAAATCTGATTGGTTCTCAACTGCCCTGATTTCAGCCTTAATAGGACAGTTTAATAGGACAGTACGCGTCATGCCTAAGTAATTGTAAAAATCTTAGAATTTCTTGTGTTTTGATTTAAAAAGAGCCCTATATATCACAAATTTTGTTAAAGTTATGATTAATTGGTAACAGGACTGAGTGGAGTCCAATTCGGTCTGTAATCATACTCGTGATTAAGCAAATCGGACTCCCGCTACGCGGTCGTCCGATTTTGTTAATCACTCGTATGATTACAGACCGAATTGGACTCCACTCATGTCCTGTTACCATTACTTATACCATTCAAATTTATGTTGAGACAAATAGCCATTAAAACTTGGAGGTACCTACAATACAACTGTCAGTAATTATTCATCAATCTATGGTATTCAGTGGTTTTTTGTCAGTCTTGAAATGTTATATAGGAATATTAAGCATTGAGGGCAATGACTGCATACAGTTGTAGCTTTGGAAGGAGGCTTCAGATGAATATTCAAGTGACATAATCAAAACAATATTTTGGCTCACTATCTTTCATTTCACATAAATCAAAATTTTAAATTTTAAAGAATTTTAACCTTTGACCCAGAGGTCATCTTTTAATGCCTCAGCTATCAGCTCAGCTCCACGATCATTGATAAGTGGATTTTTACAAACTGTTATACGGCGAAGTCCAGGCATTCTATCCAGATCTGGGCGGCGATATCGTAGGCTGTCTTGCCATGCAACACTGTGACGTCTTGTGGCTTGATGCTAAAATGATGAATGTTATTAATGGTAGTTAAATGTTGAATTTGGTGAGACAAATCAATGGCAATGCAAGGTGTAAATTGATTATGTGTTTGTGACCATTTCAGTCTTAGACCAACTTATAGCAGGATAACTTGTCACAGTGATCTAACTATTAAATCTGTGATTAAATAATTCTAACTCTTTTGTAGAACTTTGCATACAATGTAGTACTATTTATTTCTTTGGATTGTACAAACAGAAATTTGGAATTTTTGTAAATTTTTTATACACCGGCCAATAACTTGAGTGAAAGGGTGGTTCTTGGTCAGCCCCGGCTCACATACTGTGGACACAAGTGCACTGTAATGAAATAAAGTCAAGTTACCCGTATCACTTTAGCAAGGGTGTCGGCTCCTCTCCATGTAAGACTACAGCCAGTGAAGTTTACAGTTATTACAGATGTATTATTTTTTATTGCATTGCAAAGAACTACAAGATAACAGAAAAAAAATTAAATTAGTGCACACAGCTCTACATGTTGTATATAGGGAGCCTGAGAAAACAGCCAACATTTGGCAACCCTACCACTGGATTCCCCGCCAAATGATGTCTGAGTAACAAGTGCAGAAATTCCATACTGATGACGCATCACTACCCAGATCTGGGTAGTGCTTCTGATTGGTCGTGTCACATGGGAAATTTGATTCAACCAATCAGAAGCACTACCCAGATCTTAGTAATGACACGTCATCAGTATGGAATTTCTGCGCTCGTTACTCAGACATCATTTGGCAGGGAAACCAGTGGTAGTGTTGCCAAATGTCGGCTGTTCTCTCAGGCAAGTATATAGGCACTTTTTACCATCTTCACCAAGGCTGTGGTTTAAAAACAAATTGTAGGTAACAGTGATTTGACCTTGTTTAATAAATACAGGGTGCCCATGGCAGCATACAGGGCTACCAGGCACTGCTAGAACAAAGTCCATTCAGTGTAACCCTACTAGAAATAAATTTGCAGGCTATTAATTTATTGGTAAGTAATCTAAAAAGCTATCATAAGCCACTTACTGGTGCATGTAAGTACATTGTATTTTTTCACTTACTGTCAACACCACTATCCCCAATTTGGCAAAATTCTAGTGACAGATGTTGTAAAGTTCTGTTTTTTGTAATACCCTAAAACAAAAAAGCCCAGGTTAGAAAATGCATGTAGCATATTGTTAAGGAAGATACATGACACCGAAATGCACTCAAAGTATTAAAAAGTAAATTTATGCCAAATATCTGGACTTCAAAGGTTAAAGGGGAATTCATTCCAAAAGCAATTAATTCATATCAGTTCTTAAACAAAATTAAAAAACATAGCAGTTACCTTTGCCAAACAAGCTAGGTCTCTTTCTCGCAAAGGAATTCCTTGAAAAATTATCTTATTCAGGTTTTCAGTGACACATAAACATTCTTTGATTGTCCTGAAGATTCAAAATTGAGTAAAGACTTTTTATACAAGTAAATGACTCAGAACAATATTATTCATAATAATTATACAGATTAAATTCTTTATTTATTTGCTTATTTAGGGTTTTGTGAAACAGTGTACCTGCAGACACGATAAGTGACATCCTTGCTGCGAATTGCCGGAGCTTTCTTCCTCAATGCTTGTAAACGTTGTTCTGAAACTTCTAAAGATTTAGGCCATATAAAAGTCACTAGTAAGTGCAAACTGTAATCACAGCAGTGAACACAGAATAAATTTTTCCCACAAAAGCACTTTGTGATTGGCTATTATTTAAGGTCACATGACATAACATCAGACAGTAAACTTTTCTTCCACCAATTAACAGAGTACTGTGAATATCTGTCTGTGATTGTTGACCACTGCCTACCAGTAGTGTTGTTTTCTTTTGGATCACATCCTACTACCATCTGCATGCTCCTTTACCTGACTGAAAGTGAATATACACTATGGACGCCAATAAAGTCAAATCTCTTTAAGGAGCAACTTAGGAATTCCCAGCTACTGCTTTAAAGAATGAGGCATAACATAGTAGGCACTTTGTTATTCAAGAGACGTGTACATTTAAATAAGTGGCCCGGTATTCTGAAGTTTACCCAACTTCATGTCATCTGATGGCTGGTTTTCACAAGTGACAGAATCAGATTCAGAGTCATAAGAAGAAGCATAGATCATTATGATCTAGTGAATACTGCATTCTGATTCTGCTTTTGACTCCATCACTTAACATCTAGTGAAAACTAGGCAATGAGATGCGCAAGCAGAAGAGGAAGAACTTAACCAATCACAAAGTGGGGCAATTAGCACTGTAATAATTGGTTTATCATTCCGCTTCTGCTTCTTCACTAAATTGTAAGAGACGACAGAGTCATAGGTGGAGTCGAAAGATAACGGAAGCGTTCTGATTCTCCTGATTCCAATTTTGTCAAGCCTATATCTCGGCTTACGACTCCAATTTTTTTTTCATTTTCACTCTGTCAAAAGCACTCTTTTTAATATGACTCCCCTAGGCCTTAAGATTCCAACTTCGAATCAGATGCCAGTGAAAATCAGCCTTTTATAATAGAGACACCTATGTAAAGCGGACACTTGCACTTGGTGTCTGCCCCTTTGATGTCCATGAGTTTGACTGTACCAGTAATTGGTAAAACCGGTATCTGGCTTTGAAAGAACAAAACAAAACTCATCAGTAATCTTACCTCCGTCTGGATAAAGTGTTTGCTGCCAATAGCTCCTAAAGGCCACAATTTTCAAAGTCTTATTGATTTTCAGAGCGTTCAGGATCGGTGTCCAGTCACTATGCCGAATTCGATCAGCATTGCAATCAATGGTGAGTTCATCAAGATTTGCAGTTATCGATCCTAGAGGGCAAGAGTTCTGCAAGGCGCAAAGGTTATCGTAGCAAGACGCGAAGTCTGTGGAGTTCTTCTGCCGCTGACGAACTGTTTCAATCATAGTCATATTTGGCGCCCTTTTCTTTCCACCAATAATCAAAGTGAACCGTTCAAATGTTGACCTTGTATTAAAACCAGGATAAAATCCTTTAGCTACAATCTTCCCCCAGTAAATCGATGTTTCGAAAGATACAAAACAGATCGAGGAAAAACTCCATGTTCTTTATAATACTATCAACGGTTTTCCTTTCGATTTCTTTCTCTTGTTATTGAAGGGGAACGCGGGCTCAAGTCTGAGCACAGAATCCTTTCGGTCAGCGGTACAAAATGAAGCTATAGTACGTCATGTATGACAAAAGAAGTGTATCAAATATTATCAAGATGGCGCATCTTAGCAGCGATCCTTCATTAAAAGAAAGGTAAAATTCGATGTGTTCTCTTCAGTATCTCTTCCTGATTTCGACCTTGTTAGTTCATTTGTATTGATTTTGTACGGTTTCCTATTTCAGGTGGATTATAGTTTACCCGGCCTATTTGAATAGTCGAAGAACCGTTGAACAAGGTCGACGTGTTCCAAAAACTAAGGTACGGAAGGTTCGATTCAATAAACGTGGAGAAGAACACGTAGATTATTCTCAGTTATACACCTAGTGGTGACTTTTCGTTTTATCATATTCTTAACTTTAGCTTTATCCTGTGAGTGGAAAAAGTCGATATATTGGCCGACAAAAACAGCTGAACAGTTCGCCGATCACATCTGTTCCTCTATTGTTTTAGTGTTAGTATGACAGCGTCACTTGGTTTTTTGACTTGGACAAGGCCGATGCGTGAAATTAGAGCAGTTTCAAACACTTGTCTTTATATGTGGCTTTTTCTTTGTACTTGTAAGCATAATGAAAAATATAATATGAAATTTTAATTGTAATAATAATATTATGCATTATTAGTTAATGTTTATTGATAGTAGTAAACTCGCTTATTTTAATAAGACACAAGCAAGGTAAAATCAGCTGAAACAGATGCGCTCTTTAAATTCTGTGAAAAATGCTACTTACCTTGAATGTAAGCAAAAAGGTTTCTCTTGAATGGTTACATCAACGAAGACTAGAACATTGTTGCACCCCCATTATTGTTCTATGGACTTTTCCAGTTCAAGTGGCATTTACTCCCGTCATTACAGTGAAGCCAAATATATGATGTTAAAAGAATGAAAGTTAACTCTTTACTACCATATAAAATTATTATATAATTTATGGTATTTTAAGAGAACAGGATTTTTTGTTGTTGTTAACATGTTCATTTAATGATCTGAAGTGCTGAATTACTGGTAATTTGATTAGTATCATTTAATAAATACAATATTTTTTATGCATCTACACAGGCTGCTGATAACCCAACAGTTCATGAAATAAGGGATGTCTGCCAAAGTCAAGGTCTCAACTGTGAAATAGAGGTAATGTTAAGTTTTTGAGCGAGCACAAAAGTCTGATCAGGTCTTAAAGCTGCCTTGCGGTCTTCTTCATCGATTTGGTCTGCCTAGTAAGTTGAAGTGAAATATTTGGTGCATCTGATTTACATCTTGTCGATTTAATTTTTTTTTTCTCAGAACAAATATTATCCCAGAGACAGTGCTAAAGATGCCATGTGCAGAGGTCGGGTGAGAGTGCAACTAAAGAACAGTGACAGCAGCTTCATCAATGAAAAATTTCAGTCAAGTAAGGTTAACACTTGTTATAGTGTGTAGATTACATGTACATACACTTTAAGCTTATTATTGCAGCCCCATCCACTAGTTCGATATCAGCTTTTGTTTGCCTTTTTCTTCGGCATACAGCCAGACTAAGTATGTGTGGTCATAAGTCTTTCTGTGTAGCTCAGTTGGTTAGGGTGCTGATCTTTAGGAAGTTATTGATTCCAATCCAGTCGGCAAATCAAGTTGTTCTTAAATTTTCATATTTTTCTAAACCAATTAACTGCAAAACAGCCATATTTTTGTGCTGGTGATGCACATTTTTTTTCCACATGATGGAGGCTTTATCAGGTACCCAGAAATTGAGAAATGGGTTTAAAAAAGGAGACACAGCTGAGTTGTTAAACTGAAAAAAAAAACAAATCTTCTAATGACATCAGCTTTACACGGGTAGCACCTTCCTACGTAACAGAAGTGTTGCAACTCCACAGACCATTAAGAAGCTTGAGATCTGCTTCTAAGAAAGTCCTAGGATGGGGTTATGGCTGTCAGTCATTCACTCATTTGCCACACTTAAACTATGGAACTCATTGCCAGAACCTGCCTGCCATCATGATGATCTTACAAACTTTAAGACTGCTATGAAGACTTACTTATTTCATGAGCATTTCAGTTAAAGTACAGTAATAATGTATAATTTATGATGTAAATATTAGTAGTTGGTTTATACAGATTGTAGTTTTAGTATTCTTACATATTTATTTGGTTCTGAGTGTTTACTTGACTTTATTATTAGGAAAAGCATTATTTCAGTTCATTGGTGAAATGATCCCAAAGTTGAAGAGTCGTCAAACCAAGTCTTCACAAAGTGATAGTTCCAGCCAACAGCAAGGAACTGCAGCAAGCTCCAAGAAAAAGAAAGGGAAAAAAGGCAAAGGGAAATAATATTATTTAAACCATGCAATACATGTAACTGTAATTCTTAAAAACCCAAATTATAATTAAAACTTATGTTTGAATTATGATAGAGTGGTCTTCTTTGAAAAGAGGGGTACAGGGTACCAAGGTTTGTATAAAAAATTGAAACGACTTTTAAAGGTTTTTTCAAGGACCACATTATTTTGATTTTCAAGGATCTATCTACAAGGGATGTAATTTCACAGATTGATCAAAAATGCACATTCCCAGTCCTGACTATTCTAACAGGACTTTAAGGCTTGAACCGTTTGCTCCATCAACTTCTCTATATTTTCCAGTTCACGGTAAACCACCATTAACTTCTCTGAGCTATGACTCGTATTCCAGGTCGTGGACAACAAAGAGGCAGTAAAAAAATTGAAGAAAATTCAAGGACTTTTCCAGGACTTGCACAGAAATTTAATGACTTTTCAAGGAAAAAATGAAATTCAAGGACTCTCCCTAAAATTCAAGGAGTTTTCAGGACTGGGAGAACCCTGAAGTTTCTGTTTTTGTAAGGTGAATTCTCATTATTGGGAGGTACATGTAAAATACTAGTCTGCTACACAGCCATTATAAGTGTCGTCACGCAACACTCCTAGTGGGGAGGAGCGTTGCGTGACGACACTAATAACGGCTGTGTAGCAGACTAGTAACATACATGAACGTCAGTGCGCTAACAAATTGTCACTAGTGCCGTTTGTATCATTTTGTGTCATTGTCTACGTGTGACCTCAGAGAGAAAGCTTAATAAAGCTCCGATACAGTGTATCTGTCTTTTAGTAATTGCTTTCTTTGGCAGTTAACAATGATTATGTTATTACAAAAAGATACTTAACTTGTACTGCTAGTGCCATCTGTCAAATTTCTGAGTTGAAGCTGGCACATGGATGTGTGAATGTTAAAAGGATCATCACAGTTTCTTGTGTATAGTTTTAAATTTTTTATTTGTCCAGCAGTTCTATACATACAGTGTATAATAAGACTTGGTGATTTTTATATACATGGATCCAGTATATTTTCAAAAGTTATTACTGAGCAGCTACTTTCGAGGTTTGTATCAAGGTGGGTCCTGTTTGGATGTAGGAGTACTTTAAGTCTTTAGGTCATTAGAAGAGGGGATTGTTCCTTGGTCCTTGGTCAGCATAGCTTACAGTGAGATTGTTGATGACACATCTGACCAGGCATTGGGCAGGTTCACCACAACCCTGTTATCAGAAGGTACAGTTGACCTCTGAGCTGCAACAGCACTCTTGTGTGGAATGGGTGATACCATAGGAGATTTCCTCTCATGTTCTTTTGCAGTGTCATGCCCTTCACCAGCAACTGGAGGCTCTTTGAAGTGAACGTGAGGGGAACTTGGGCGCGGTTGTTGCACTGAAAGACGAAATCAAAAGTCTTTTATTACTTGAAAAGTATATTGACCTGCATGCAGGGCTATGTTGAGAACAATAGAGACGTTTTGCTAACAAAAAAGCCAACTAGTAACAAGAGTGCACTCACACATGGCCACCACATAGCTAGATATTACAACATGTTCTCTGACTGTAATTATTGTTGCAACTTGAGATATTGCTTCTTGGATACAGATAGAATTCTGATAAGTTAGGGTTTTCCACAACATACAGTGTAATGTCACCAGTACCCATCTTTTTTACCTGGGTGAAGAGACATTGAGTAAGCACTGGTTCTGGTCTTATGTTTTATATTTTAAAAGAATACTAGAAAAGACTCAGGGCTATCACTAAGCAGGGAGGAGGGTGGGATTTCTATTGGCTTCTACAAGCATGGCCCCTGGCTACTTT